TCTGCATGAATAGACATTCATTTGTACTCACATTTACAGGTGGGCCTCTTCTCAGCAAATCCTATATATCACAGTTCAGATTAACACATAAGATATACCTAGGAGGGATGATTTGTCAGAAGGACTCTGCTTTATATAAAGTTTTACCACAGGATTCCTTAGCCTGATCTTCCCGGGACATTGATTTTATTTATTTTTTATTTAAAGTCAACTTTTTAGGGTTGTAGGAATTGCATAAAATGAGGGAGACCCACCTGCATGTTGTTTTGTAAGCATTTTCAGTCATTTTCATATTTATTTATGAGTCTTACCAATCTGACTGGGCTCCTTGAGGGTGGGAACCCCATCTCTGCTTGCCTTTGTGTGGCCTTCGGTGCCTGTCTTGCCCTAGGCCCTGACAGTCTGTTTTAAGTGGGAGGGCCCCACCTCTCCTGGGAGATAACTTTATGGCCTCTGTTTTACAGGGCTCATATCTAGAAATCAAGAAGCAGATGGACAAGCTGGATCCCTTGGCCCATCCTCTTTTGCAGTGGTAAGTAGTATGGATAGAATGGTTCATCCTTCGGGGATTGGAAGGGAGGGAGGTGTGGGGGTGTATGATATTAGACATGGAACCTACACCTTCTTTTAGAGGCAGTTTTAGCATCCTCCCTGAGGTTATAGATGTTCTGGCTGCTTTTTCTTGGGGTTTTATTGATATACTTGCCCTGAAAAGAACTCAGAGCCTATTAAGAACTCACAAATTCTGACACCATGTTTCGGGTTCTCTTTAGGTGTTGTTTCCCCAATATGTTTTTTAAGTATCCTCTGCATTTAAGCATTAGTACTGTTACAGCTCAGTTTTCTGTGCATCCAGAGAGGTCTGTCTCCCTCTTCTACTCTTTTTCCCTGTCTCAAGGCCTTCCCTGTTGATGTACACTATCCAGAGCCTTGAGGCACTATTATTATTCCTTTCTAACAAAGGTCCTGAACATTTCTACTGCTCTCCACCTCCTGCCCTTCTTCCCTGATCTTGATTTTTGTTGTTATCCTGACATAGCTTTCCCCTCTTTTCCTAGTCAGCTTTTGACATCAGTACTTTCTCAGTGCAACATGCTCCCACATAGCATGAGGAGTGATCAGGCATAGACTATCCAGGATGGCATCACAAGTAAATGGGTGAAGCCCAAAGAACCAAACTGTATCCGCTACATGAGATAACATTGCCTTGCTGAGCTCTCACTGTTTTATGCCTTTGTTCTCTCCTGCGCTCTGAGTTCAGCCTACACACAGCCCAATCTGTCCTTGAATCCTCAGGAAGATTGTTGTAGTTTCTTCTCTTTCTTTCTCCAGCCCAAACAGTAACTTTCTTTCCATTCCTCCCCATCCTCAAGAGCCCTGAAGGCTTCCTCTGAGCTCAGATGGGATGGCTCTTGAGCCCCAGTTGTGTGTCTCTAAATCCCAAGTACAAGTTGTCACCCTGCTAATAGAGATCCCTGCTTTCTGATTTTTTTTTTTTTTTTGTAGCTGATCTTATGTACTCTTCCTTTTGTATTATTCTTTTCTCTTCCTAGATGTAGCAGTCTCCCTTTCATCCCTGTCTTTCTTTCATCCATCGTTTACCCAGTAACTAGCTGGTCTCTGGTCAGTAGCTTCCCTTTTACATTTTTCTACACGAGCATTACAACCCCAGGAATACCCAGATAGTGACCTGAACATTTCACACAAAGCAGACAGCCCTGGAATCCTTGCTTGTTCTCCCAGGGGTTCAGCAAGGCTGCTGCTTTGTTCTGGATGGTCTGGCCACACATTCATTCTTTCCATTCCTTTTTTTTCTGTTTTATGCTAGGATCATCTCTAGCAACAGGTCACACATTGTCAAACTACCTCTCAGCAGGGTAAGTGACTATTCTTCTAAACTCTTTAAATTTCTGGTGAGGGGCAGGGAGGGGCTCCAAACCAGCTAACCACATTGGTCCTAGATTTGTTTCGTTGGCTCTGTCCATCAACAGTAGTCTTTGGACCTAAGCATAATCTCTTTATTTGGGGTCAGTGCAAGCCTGATTTGCTCCCTCTCCCCAACCCTTCCTTCCCTGATCTCCATTTCTGCTCTATTTTCCTGACCCGACCCCCACCCTGGGCAGCAGCTGAAGTTCATGCACACCTCACACCAGTTCCTCCTGCTGAGCAGCCCTCCTGCCAAGGAGGCTCGGTTCCGGACCGCCAAGAAGCTCTATGGCAGCACCTTTGCCTTCCAGTGAGGAGGGTGGGGACTGGGGGTGGGGGTGGGGAGGACAACAAATAATTTAGGGGGATGGGAGGGCAACTTCACTTGAGGTATATGAGTGTGTGTTACCTATGTCCATCAACTGATCAGTCAAATATTATTGTGGTAGGTGCTATAGAAGGTAGAAAGATACATACGATATGGTCTTTACTCTCAAGCTACTTATGTTATAGTTGAAGGAAAATGACATTTACATATAAAAAGATGTGGTTGAAGGAATAGATCGGAGGAGATAGATCTGAAAGCTACTTGGAAGGAAATCAGTGATTTATGCTGAATTGTGGGAGGGGAGAGAAAGTGAGAGAGAGATTAAGAAGGGCATGGTGGTGCCCTTTTCTTAAGATAGATGTCAAGTCAGGACTGGCAGCCATATTTGGGATCAGTGATAAGTTTGTTGAGTGTGAGATGCATCTACGTAACTTGAAATATCAGGAAAATAGATATATATACAAATAAAATGCTGAACCAGCATTTGGGGATTTAGGATGGGACTATATGAAGCACAGAAAAAAGGATGGGACTGGAAATTAAGATGGAGGGTTAGCCACACACACATATCTTGCATGCCTGTGACTGTATCCATGTGCATGTCCATCACTAGGTGTATCTGTGTCTATCATCATGTCCCGTGTGGGTGAGGATGGGTGGGAGTGGCAGTCTAAGAAGTGCTTCTGGGAACCTCATACTGTGAGGACACATGTCTTCTACCCTGCCTTACAGTGGGTCCCACATTGAGAACTGGCATTCGATCCTGCGCAATGGGCTGGTCAATGCATCCTACACCAAACTGCAGGTGAGGCTGTACCCCTTTCCCTTTCTCTCCACCCCCCCCTCCCTGCCCCACTCAGTTTTGGGGAAGGCTGCTCTAGAGTACTCAGCTGTTTTTGCCTCAGCATCCTCAAATCTAGCCTGTTGTGGGGCTTCCCTAGGAAAGAGGTTGAAATTGTATAGAATGAATGTGGCTGTTGTATCATTGACCCCAGGCTGTATTTTTTGGTGGTTTTGGGAACGGGATTATAGTAATGGGCAGGAATATGAATTGCTAACTGCAGCCACTGTGATGAATTAACCTGTTAGACAAAGCTTTTTAATTTATGTGACTGTTCATTCAGTCAATTCAGAGAATTGATATAAAAGACTTATTTCTTTGCCCTGTGAGCCTCCAAGGAATGCGTATTGTCCCTCCTCTTGGCTACCTGTTCTGTAGTTCCTTTTTTGGAATCTGCATATGTGCCAAGACCTGGGGACAGGAGTATGGATTCTGAGGGACTGACTCAGTGGCTCTGCCACTCCTCACTTTCAAAGACATCAGTATCTAGTAGGGCAAAGGGGTTAATCTGCACCCACTTTTCAGCCAATCAGCTTTTCAAGAGTAGGTTCCTAGTGTTATCTGAATGAGTGAGAAGGTAATTGGAGGGACAGAGGGCTGGATAAGCCTTGTGGCTGCCTAATATACAGCCATGGGAGGGCCCAGGCTCATATTGCTCATCCTGGTGTTTCCCTGCAAGCTGCATGGAGCAGCCTATGGCAAAGGCATCTACCTGAGCCCCATCTCCAGTATTTCCTTTGGATACTCAGGTAAGAAATACTCTGTGGCCACCTTGACTGTATTTACGTCGCATTCATTTTGTAAATACATAATCTATGCTGTCTCCTCGTTCATCATGGATACTTGGTCTATGTCAGCTCTCTCTCCAGTCATAGATACATAGTCTGTCTCTCTGCCTCCTCTTATTAGAAATTTAGATTCTTTACAAGACGAGGCCAGTTGTCTCCCTTTCTTTTAGGTAGTCCTCTTCTCCATGGGGATAGCTTTATTCATTGTAGAGGCTTGACTCTGAGATTAAGTTAGGGATTAACTGGGAGATTGAAATGAGGCTTTGTGTAGACTACATTTTTGGTGTTAGCGGTAGCCTGTCATTATTATGGATGCTGTATGTGCCCACGTGCATGTGAGTTTATATATGAATACACTTGAAGGCTTGAGTAACTTCCATTGGCTTACATGTCTGGAGACATTGTTCTCCCTGTCAACTACTTTTTTAAAATTTAAACTGTTTATAATTACATAACATTATAATAGTTACATTGGATGGAAGAGAAAGCCTTGTGTTCCAAAGATAAGGCATGAATGAAGCCCATATTCTAGTCAGGAGATAAGTCCAGCTTTGTTCTGTTCAGAAAACAAATCTGACTAGAAGCTCTCTGTGTTCCAGGTTCATGTCTTAGTTCCTTTTCAGTCTTCTGTTCTTGTTCTGTATAGTCTCTGTATAAAGGATAACCACCATGTATTTACAAATCTGCCATATAAAAGGGACAGTATTAATTCTTTATAGGTTATTATTTAGTATTCTCCAGTAATTTAACTGTTACAAAGATAAGAAAACTTAGATCCAGAATCATAGAACTTAGAATGAGTCTCTAAATTTTAAACTACTCTAACAACAACAGAAAAAACCCAAAAAACTCACCGAGCCCAGATAGTTTTATAAGTGAGTCTGAAACCAAACTTTAACCAAACCAAACCAATTATTACAGTCTTATACAAAATTACCCAGAGAATGGAAATAGAATTATAAATAATAAAAGATCAGTAAATTTGACTTTATTAAAACTAAAAACTGGTGTTCATCAGAAGACTTCTTAAGAAAGTGAAAAGCTACAAACCAGAAGACATTTAGCAACACATTTAACACATTAGTAATAAAAATGTTTTTTTTTTTTAAATGTAAAGATTTGTTTTATTTTCTACTGGGGGAAGAAGGAGGATAAATAGAACTGTTTTCCAATTTGCTCTCCACTGTATACACACATACCCACACACATACATACACATACACACACCAAAAATACCCCAACGAAAAAACAAAACAGGAAACTGAGAATCAAACACCAAAACACCCTCAAACTGCACCAATACTTCATATTTTGACCGAAAGAATAGATCCTGGGAGGAAGTGCAAAATGCAAAATCAAATGACCGAAAAATGCTGAACAAACAGCATTATTAATATACAAAATATTTATATTACTGAACTAGTAACAGTTGATGTTCTCCATGTCTGTAAAACTTTGGAACCACATAGCTGATTTGTTAAATCTAGTCCATGCCAGCTTCCAAACTCCAGAAAAATTTTTAGTTAGCTTCATTCTTTGATGCCTCATCAAAATTTTCTACAAGATCTGGAACATCATCACCCTCTTCATCAATGTCTTCTGGTTTTGGTGCTTTGCTATCCAACACTTGCCGAGGGAACTGTTCAGCTAACTTCCTAAGACTTGTTAAACTGTCAGCACCAAGCTGACTTAATATTCCAGGAAGCATTTCTGTGATTGGTTTGGCTTCTGCATGACCAGTAATTGCAAAGGTGTTAGCAGAAAGGGAAGCTTGGACTTTGGGATTGTTGAAATGAATAACTGTCCCATCATCTTTAATCATGTTCACCTCTTCAATACCAGCTATATTATTCACAGCCAGTTTTTTTAGAGAACTCTGAAGTTTTTTGTCATCAGCCGTAGCTGTTCTATGTACCACCTTCTTCTTTCTGCGAGCTGTACCCTTGCCCTCTATCTGGACCTGAGCCTGAAGTTTGGCTAACTTCTCTTGATTCATGCTGTTGGTAAATCTGAAGCAGGGAGGGTCCTCCAACAACAGCACGCGGCAAGAGCAAGACGGCTGCCCAAAAATGTATTTTAAAAATCAGAGTGCTTGGGTGGCTCAGTCAGTTAAGCATCTGCCTTCAGGTCAGATCATGACCCCAGGGTCCTGGGATCGAGCCCCACGTCGGGCTCCCTGCTCAGTGTGGAGTCTGCTTTTCTCTCTGCCCCTCCCCCTGCTTGTGCTCTCTCTCTCTCTCTCAAATAAATACAATCTTTTTTAAAAAAATAAAATAATTAAAAATCAATAAGAAAAAGACAACTTGATAGGAAAATAGGTAAATGACCTGAACAGGCATTTCACTGAAGAAATGACCAAAAAATATGAAAAGCTGCTCAACTGCTATTAATCAAGGAAATAAAATCAAGACCAAAAAGACTTACTATTTAGCACCTATGTGGATTGGCAAAAATCAAGAAACCTGGTAATACCTCTAATGGTTCTAGAAGTTGTAGATCAGCAGGATCTCTTTTATTTTTAATGGGGATATAAATTGGTATAACCACTTTGGAAAATAATTTGGTGTTAAATTTCATAGAGCTGAAAAATTTTATCCCAGCCACCCAGCATTTTCATTCCTGCCTACATACACCCAAAGGTGTACATGAATGTTCAAAACAATATCATTTGCAATAGCAAATCTTGGAAACAACCCAAATGCTCATTATTAGATTATCAGGAGGAAGGATAAATACATTTTAGTATATTCTCAGGGTGGATTATTATTTAGCAATGAAAATGGTTGAACAGTGGCTCTCAACTGTATGGAAAAATCTTAGTAATTAATTGATTTTAAAACAGGCAAGCCCAGGGGCACCTGGGTGGCTCAGTCGGTTAAGCGTCCAACTCTTGGTTTCAGCTCAGGTCATGATCTCAGAGTTGTGAGATCAAGCCCCATGTCAGGCTCTGCACTCACCATGGAGTCTGCTTGTCCCTCTCCCTCTGCTCCTCCCCCCACCTCCATGCTTTCTCTCTCTCTCTCAAATAAATAAATAAAATCTTTAAAAAAAAAAAAGCCCAGAACACCACTGAATGATGTCTTTTTTATATTGTTCAAAAGCAAACAAAATTAAACATTTAGGTGCATGTGTGTATGTGTGTATGCTAAAACTAAAGAAATTTCAGGATAGTGGTTACCTCCAAGAAGAGGCAGATAGTTAGATGTAAGTCACTAGTAATGTTGGGTCTATAGGTATAATAGATAATGAGTAAATAAATTAATGATAGTGTGTCATGAACCAAACCTGATGATGAATCCACACAGGGTAATACTGATTGAATGCGTGAATGAATCTTATTCTGTGTGCCTGCCGTGCACAGTAGGGGTTGTGTTGGGGTAGTCTTTTTGGCTTCTTTGTCCAGGTTTCTTAATTTTTATCTTTGTCCAAGCCTGAGCTTCCCTCATTAAGCTCTTATTTTCTGAGTTAGATTCTTCTGGTTCTTGGTGCCCACAGAATTCTTGCTTCCTGTTTGTTCTCTCCCTGTTCTTGCCCTCTTTCCTCTCTCACTGGCTTCTGTTTACTACTAAGTGCCTGAGTCCCTTTAGTTGCCATATGGAGCCAGGAATCTCTGTTGACCCCTTATCTTTCTTCATTACTTTCCTGATTACATAAAAACATCATATAGCACCATGCTTTTCCCTCTTGCAAAGGTCCATTGATTATGGATACAAAATGGCATAAGATTTTACTCTTAGAATTACATCCAGTCCTTTATTACTTTACAGTTAGGAAAGCTCATACAGAGAAGTTAAAGGACTTTCTTGGGGTCACACAACTGTGAGTAGCAGAGCTAGGATTAGAGTCTAGGCCTCCTAACTTCTAGGCCAGTTTTCTTATCACTTTCTTGGATTGACCAGGTAGGCTTTACTTGAATGACTGAGTCTTTGAGGGCCCAAAGATATGTGAGGGTCTCTATCATGTGAGATGTGTACAAATGTCCAGTTTATTGTAGTTACTCTAGCATTTAGCCAACTCTGTCTTCTTACGTGTTTCCATCTACCCTATTTAGCTCTGGTTTTCTCTGTTCTTCCTCAGGGTATCCTTAGTTTTGTGGCATTCGGTGCTCTCTGGGAGCCGGTATAAATAGAGAGCATCCATTTGGCCCGTGGAGCCTCCATTCCAATGACTTGGCCATTGTGTGCAGGTTATAATGAGGGCCAGTGAGAAAGAAGATGGTAAACATCTGTTTGTTTAGTTCTGTTTAGAGACTTCTGATATGTGCGTACTCTGGACACAAAGCATCCAGGGATTATGTTAGCCACCATGTTCTCAGGTTCTGGTCTTGGTAAACTGACAGAAGATCATTGGGTCAATATGGACAGGGCAGTGTGCAACAGGATTGGGATGGGACAGGATTTGGATTGTATCATAAGGGCCATCTCAAAGACCAGCCATAGAAATCAGATTGTTCTTTCTTATCCTCTGGGGTAGAACTTGAGTGGGAATTTCACTCAGAATCTTGCACTGAAATACCCAGGATGAGAAGGTCATGATGTTTGGATTCAGAGCTAAACCTAGTTAAGGCTAATGGAGAAAGTGGAAATAGAGGGGTGGTAAGTGTTCTGTAGGAGGAAGAAATTAATTTAAGTCTTGCCCTGAGTTTTGTTCAGGCCGTAAATCTGTCATGGAACTTTAGTGTCAGTGCGTGATGAATTGACAGCCTGAGCAGTGAAGAATGTCAGTCCAGTCATCTGCATTCCTGCACCATGGCTAGCACAAAACCAAGAATTGAAGCAGAGTGGGATTAGTAATAGAAAGTTGCAGGATGGAGTGGTGAGATAGGGGCCTGGTTTATGGTCTGTTGTGATAGCATCATTTCCCATCTTCATCCATCTCCCTCTCTAACAGAAGGGGACACACACACACACACACACACACACACACACACACACACGACTGTGATAAGGCTGGGCCTGTGAGAAAGCTTAGTACAAAGACTGAAGTCTTAGTCACAGGCCAAAAACAGTTGGGAGTAGGGGCACACAAGCGCTGTTTTGTATCTAAATAAGAAAAGTCTAGAAGGAGTCTATAAATGTTATAAATAGGGCTCTTCGCTGGGAGATAAGGATGGTGGAGGATTTATGGATTTAGGTAGGGGGGAAACTGGAGGGAATTGGCACCACTTCCTCAAAGAGTTGAGGAAGTAAGCAGGATTCTTAAGGTTGTTGCCATTGTGGTTACTTGTGGAAAATTATTCATCACTTACCTGCTGTGCTTTCTGCCTTTTCTCTTAAGTGACTCTGGTCATAGTTTTCTGTGTAACTTTGAGACTAGAGCAGATCTGACTCACTCTGCTTGCTTCCTCGTCACTCATTTTGCTCAACCTGGCATTGATCCAAGGTGTTGATACCACTTTCCTGGCCCCTCATTCCTGGCTCACTTCATGTGTTCCTCCCCTGTCTTAGAGCCTTTTAGTGATTCTCTGATGTTCTCAGAATAAACTCCAGTTGCCTTAACATGGTCTGAAGGCCTGCCTGATCTGACCTAGCTTAAAGCTTCCACATCATCTGTTGTCACTCCCCTTCCATTGACTATGCTCCATACAAACTAAGGCACATTGCTTTCTTCCTCCAGGACTTCCATGTCCTCTTACCTCTGCCAGAACACTTTCCTCCTCTTATTTAACTAGTTCTTTCTAGCTGTCACTGGGAAGCCTTCTTCAAACCCCTAGAGCAGGCTAGTTCCCCTCCTGTAGCTCACACATTGTTCTAGATTCTCCCCATTACACCTCTTACCATACTGTGTTGTAATTACTTGTTCTTTGCTCTAGTCTCCATCAGACTAAATTGTGTCAGGGCAGATACCTTGTTTGTTTTATTCACTACATGTCTAGCTCAGTGCCTGGCACTTAGTATGCACCTTAGTAAATATTTGATTGAGGAATGGGTGTGTGAACTGGATTTGTTGTTCTGTGACAGGAATGGGAAAAGGACAGCACAGGATGCCCTCCAAGGATGAGCTGGTCCAGAGATATAACAGGATGAATACCATCCCCCAGGTATTATTGGTTGGCACTGCTCTAGTGAGGCAGAACCCTTCCCGTGGGATAAGTTTAGGCTACAGAGTTGGATGGGGAAACAGATGGTTGGGGAGGTGGGTAGTTTGCAGATCATTTGAAGGAATCAGATATGTTCTAAGATGAACACACTTTCAGAGTCATATGTGGCCTCAGTCATAAGTATGAAAGTAGAGACTGAGTTTAAATGCAGTGACATGAAAATGTAAAGATGGAAGCTATGGACTCATCCAGACTGATTATGGGAAAGCAAATTTGGGCGAGGTGGTGTCTGGGGAGTCCCAGATATCCCTGATCCACACCCCTAGCCATCAGCAGCTAACCGTGCTGTCTAGGGAAAGCTGTAATAGTCTACCTGGCTCTGCTTTCCTTCTCTTCCAGACCCGATCCATTCAGTCGAGGTTCCTGCAGAGTCGGAATCTAAACTGTATAGCACTTTGTGAAGGTAGGTGGCTCACCCAGTCCCTGTTTTTCTGTGTCCCCAACCTTATGATCCAGCCAAGGGTGTTGTTGACACATCATGTCTTCCCTCCCCTCCCTGGACTGTGTGACTTAAGCATTATATCTATAACTTCTGGCCCCCTTTTTCCCAGTGATTACATCTAAGGACCTCCAGAAGCATGGGAACATCTGGGTGTGCCCTGTGTCTGACCATGTCTGCACACGGTTCTTCTTTGTGTAAGTCTAGGAGGGTACCTTGGGGCTCACTCTGAGGAATGGGGGGGGGGATGGTGTGATTACTGGGAAAGTCTGTTTCTGTCATCCAAGACTTGTCCCTGGCTACCTGCGTGGAGCTGGCACTGGAACTTTGCCTGTGGAAGATGGGGATGGGTATAGGTCAAGGTCTGTTTAAAGGAAATGAGATAAGCTGAATCTTTTCCACCCAGAAGAATAGCAAGAAAGATTTTTAACTTCTGGGATGGGATGGCCACACCTCCAAATATAATTCCACTGGTTGACATTATTCTGGTTTTGTTCTCCCCCTTATGCTCACACTTGCCCTATCTTTGGCAGATATGAGGATGGTCAGGTGGGCGATGCCAACA